ACCTTGGGACCCGTTATCGTTATCTGCGTTTCCCTGTCGGCCTCGTGTGGCCGAACCGTCTATAACAGGGGTGGGGAACCTCCGGCCTCCGTATACGCGAGACCATTTGGTACGGCCCTCGAGGCAATTTATAAACACACGCAAAAAGAATTAAACAAGCGAGTGCCTGTTTTTCCTGGCCCTGACCTTGGTCAGGGTCCTTGAACACAACACGAGCCTAACGTGTCATCACGTGGTATATGTCTCGTCTGACTGGGGTGTAGTGCTGACGAGAGCACCAGAACACGGCTCGGGCACTTCAGAAAAGGAGCCGTACACATGTATGACACTGATCATACAGTCAATAACTTTGTTGTTATTAGCATCTGGTTAGCTAGCTATGCTAACGAATATAAGAGGCTTTTACAACCAGTGTAGTAAAGGCACATCTTTATATGATCATTATAGTTATAAAAAAATAAGAGAATAAAGTAAACAGGTATAAAATACTATATGACAGTAAACAAAAGTTGTTATTAATAAACAAGAATACAGTTTGAAAGGGGAGTGATTTGTAAAATATTCATGAAGAAAAATAAAATCTGCTTACAGTTCTGTTTCATACAGTATGGGTGTTGAGAGATGTATCCATAGATCTCCTAATGTTGCTCTCAAAGTGCACCAGATTGATGCTTTTAACTTCAACATTTAAAAGAAAATCTTCCCGGGGGAGCATGCCCCCCGGACCCCCCTAGAGGAGGTTAGGTCCCCCCCCACTTAAATCATGTTCACATGGATAGGAAACTAAATACATTTGCACACATCTTGTGTCCATATCTTTCTGTTTTGGTGGTCATGCCACAACCGTGCACGTGCGTGCATGCATGCGCGAGTCATGGTAAGATATCTGGATTAAGAGGTTGCTTTTTCTTTGCACAGCATGAAAGAAAGGCGAAATGAATGGGCTGTGATTTTAGTATTTTTAAGCAGAGGTCAATCATTTGTACGGCCCTCTGAGGATGTTGAAAAAATTGAAATGGCCCTTTAGAGGAAAAAGGTTCCCCACCCCTGGTCTATAAGATACAGAACTGTAGCGGATACGACCCGTTTCGTCTCCGTGTGGCTGCAGCCTCAATCTGTAGTTTTTGGTAATACTGAATATCAAGATAACTTCTCTAAATGTGCAGCAAAAAATAACAAATAAATTGCGACCTAGCCAAAATGACCACTGACAGATTGCAGGTATTAAAAGCAAATAGGATTCAATTTGGTTAAGTTATTTCATTATAACTCTGAAGGTTAAAAACGGACAGGGCTTTCATAAAGTCTGGAGATGACACAGAGTTATTACAAAATCATTTTAATGAAGACAGTATAATGACACTTCACTTTAACAGCTAGAGCACACTGAACAGAAAGTCCTATAAACTGTAGATTATAATACAGGTACACTCAGGTGCTCTCCCAGATGTTGATGATACCACCTGGTGTGGTATCATGAGGGTCAGCCAATAGAGCCGGCTGGAATCACAATTGATTAAGCAGGGGGTTTCATGAAGCACCAAAAACGTTTCAGACAACTTACCTCTGCAGTAGTTTTTGTAATTAAATGTATCTTCTTTTCTTTTTTTGGTTGGTATACTACATCAGTCAAATATTTGTTTTCCTTTTAGTTAAGAAGAAAGTCAGTTTTACAATCACTTACAAAATGCTAAAGCCATAGTAGCTTTACTGACATTGTGAAGCTGCACAGGTAAATGGGGTCCGCTAACATTGTGCTACAGTTGCTCAACGCCAATGACTTTCTTAGTACAAGATATGCTACGATTGGATGGTTATATCTAATACATGAAAATAAGTTGACAACGTTGGTGTGTATCTTACAGAAACCTTGTATCGATTTTAAAGGCAGTCATGGTTTCCACATTTAAAAAATGTTTCATGAACCTTGGATTTTTCAAAACTGCACTGAAACTATTTCAAAAATACCAATACAACTTTTTCAAATGTGTCACTTGTCTTTCCTACGGTTCGATACAACACAAGTAATCAGGAGATTCAAGGTTTTTGCAGGAAACGGGCAACGTAGTTATTTTCTTTTACATTTAAAAGTCATTTCCCAACGCTTTTATGAAGGATGTGCAATGTCAGATACAAAGGTTGTGAATATATTCAAAAGGGCTTTTGAACCAAAGTAACTTTGGATTGTACATAAAGACGCACAACAACATTTATTATATATTAGAACAATTGGTTAATGAGCTAAACGTGATACAAATAATTGATGCCCATTATAGTTAACTGTATCAGTCTTGTAATCATAGGTGCTTCCTTTTAAAATGTACCAAAATATAACATTTATTCTCACTTCTGTTTGTTGCAAAGCACACAGATGTTATACACATGTCTTTAACTGGCAGTATTACTTCATGTGTAAATATGATATAGCTTAATAACAGTGATTTCTTTAATATATAAATAAAACAATTTGCATTCACAAATCAAAATCATTCAATGTTGGTCGCTATACAACAGTGTTTGTATAATACAAATCTCAGATGAATTAATAGTTGAATAGTAAGATTACCAGATTTCATTTAACTGTAAGACACTGAGTTTAATAACAATGTGAAATGACAGTTCAGTGCACTAGATCTACATATTTTGAAAGATAGTGCATACAGTTTGGTTGGAAGTCTGTGAGAATATAAACCGCTATGGTTTGGACGTGTTGATACATAAATACCTTTTTGCTGTATACTGTACTAACAGATCCCACTTCCCACTTGTATATCAGCGATGCATGCAGCCTTGTCCTTGGCTGCTTGAAATAGTAAACCGTATGAGTAAGACTTGCAGGCAGGCGAGCATCTTTTTATACTGCTTGGCTGTGAAATCCATGAAATAAATGATCAATTGCACCAGGGACCTTAATTAATTAAAAAACACTTTGCCAAGTACGTCAACAATGTTATTTTTTCAAATGATTGGTGCTATATCTTTAGTAGAGCTATTTAATATACTGTAGCTCCCTCAAGGAGGAAAATGTTTGGAAATAACTACAAGCCTGATTGCCATTAAAGATCAAACCACATTCACGTGAGGTCTGAAATCTTTTATTTTTATTTTTTTAAATATATTTTAGAAAATTACCGGCTGCAAATGGCTAACGTTAACTAGCTCTACCCCTGATGATTTTCAGATGTCTTGTTGTTAAAAAAACATAAACAAAATCCCGTGAAAGTTTAAACAAAACTGAGAAAGTCCAAAACAAAACACTCATTAACACTCCAAAGTAAAAAAAAAAACGACTTCCCAACTCTGAAAATGGGATTACCCAAGGAGCATGAATGCACCATTGACATTGAATCTCCAAGTGCCATATTAGTTTGACTATTAACAGACCAATACAAAATTTACTTTTGCTTCACAACAATTTTACACCCATCAGGACAACTGTATGAACTATTCACCTCCAGCACTTGAAATGTTCACCTCCAACCACTTGTCTCAAACAAGCCAGTTTGGATACATTCAATAAATGTTTCATATGGAAATAAATTATAAATATTTTTTAATTCAAGCTGATAAACAGATCACTAAGACTAATCTCAGTTCTAATACGGGGGCTTCAACTAGCATAACCACACACATGCTGGTACTGATGAGAGGCACTATTACACCAAACGAACCTGGTTCAATACTGATGCTACTTCTTCTATCAACCATGGAAATGTACGTATCAATGCGATGTCCATTGGCACTGACGAGATTTGCATATGAAAGGTTACCTTAAAAATTAGACATCTACAACTTTAAAGTGAAATTACATTCACAAAATAAAAAAATACTTTTGTATGGATTTTAAGTCATTTAGGTCAACAGTTTTGTTCTAACAGACTCTTTTATTTTGGAAATACTGAATGATAACGTTAGCTTATGAATCTTTCCAAAATGGATGCTGCACAACATTTTAGAAACCAACCTGAATAACTTACTTCAAAAATGTATGTATCAAAGGCTTTTCTTAAATTAACTCAGGTCAGTTACTTATACTCATGGCTCACCAACACATCCCTCATGTTTTTAAGTACTATGACTTTACATACCATAAAAAAACAAATAATGGTTTGGATTATTATAAGCACAGGCTCTCTACGCTTAAACTGTAGTCAAAAGTGGCCCAAATCTGATTTTTCTTTGTGTGCATATGTGACTCTATTTTTTACATAACAGTACAAATCACATTTAATATAATCTTTTTATTTTTGATTTGTGTCACTTTCCCTTGTGCTCCTAAATCATGAATCCATGCAAATTTGTTCTAAGTCTTGCAGTGCTAGCAAAGTATGAATCATCTGTAGCTGATAATCAATTCAACAAAAGTTTAAAAAAGCGCTTTGAGCTTTTTAAAACAAGTTTCCCCTGTAACTGTGTTCTTCCTTATTAACTTGTGTGATAAACTGAACACTAGATCGTTCCTTTCCCCAAAAATAAATACATTGACAAAATAGAAATAATTGTTTTGGGTAAAAGATTCAAATGCATCACCTTGATCCAACACCTAGCAGTGTAGCAGCGCCCAAACAGTATCTAGAAATTGTCCAGTTAAGCATTTCAACAATACCGAATTAACCAAAGGCCCCTTATCCTCAATTAGATAAATAATGAAGGTTTTGTCACTCGAACAATGTTGATTTAATAGAAATGATATACTATGTCTTGGTATATACTGGCTGTACTGCATTTGTGACATATCTTATGATTAACCTTTGTGTTTAGTTTAAGCAGTTGGATTATATAACAATCAATGACTACATATTAATGAGCCCAATGAGGAACAGTGGTTGAGACCAAGTCCTGTGACAGTACACTTCACCTTAAGTTACCGTCTTTAATTCTGCCCATCACATGCACCACCACATACACTCCAGTCCTTGCTGCTGTCTAACAACCCCACCCACAGTCAACAGCTTCTCCTAAATACAGACTGAGGTTCAGCCCGGTGCTTACACACTCCCTCATACTGTCACTTCTGTTTTGCTGTTGGTGACAAAGTATGGCTGTGGAGGCATGTAGCGAGTTGTGTGCAGCTCCTTCTCTATGATGCAGAGTCTCTTTGATCCGTAGCTCTGTCGCAGCCCCAGCATGTCCCTGTTCTCCCAGGAGCTCAGCAGCCCCTGGCTGGCGGCAGGGCTGGAGCCGTAGGCCAGCCACTGGGAGCTGTGGCTCCGGGGGCTTTTGTACTTGTATCCGTTCTGCTTTGAAGACATCTGTCTGGGTGGGCTGTATGGGTTGCTCGGCTCTGGCTCCATATCCACAGCTTCCATGGGAAGGCTGCCCTTGGTTGTCATCTCCATCACTTGCCGCCGGTTGCCGTATAAGCTGTCATTCGCTTTCTCTGCTAACAAACACAGATAAACATCATGGTAGTCAGGGTTCGAGTTATAATCTGAGCTTTATGGGGGTCTTTAAAACTAACGCGTGAGTACGCACGCACGCGTGCAAGCACACACACACACACACACACACACAGCAGCAGCCCTCTACTTGCTACAAACTTAAAGGGGACCTATCATGCAAAATGCACTTTTGTACGTCTTTTATACATGAATATGTGTCCCCGGTGTGTCAGGGAACTCACCAAGTGTCAGAAAACACAACCCTCTCTCTTTTCCTCCATACCCAAATCTCTAAAAACGGGGCTGCAACGGAGCTGATTGTTATTTGAATTTTTCTGACGTCAGAAAAGGGGTGCTCCGCCTATATGGGCAACTCTCCACCTATCAGGGGAATGAGAGACCGCTCGAAAGCGCTGGAGACGCTGTAGTACATATGCCAGGCCTGTAAGTGGCGCTGTAGTCTGCCACAAAAGCAGAATCAGCCCTTGCAAAAACAGGGCTGGAAAAGAGCAAATAGAGCGAAATGAGGCATTGCTAAAATGCATGATCTGTTTGGTATTTTGAAAAAAAAACTTCACAGACATGTTTTATATAGGTATGGCCCTACAATATATGCTTCAAATATAGCATGATAGGTCCACTTTAAATATGAAAAGGTTCAACTACGCACACACATCATCTCGGCTTGCGCAGCACGCTCACAGGCATAGATTGCGCAATAATTGATTGCGCACCTTGGAGGTGAAGTGCAGGCATATTGTCATTCAAGAGAGAATACGATGCATAGTTCTTTTGGAAAACATGTTTTTCTTTTAACCTATTTACCTCGTTAATGTACATGATACTCATTACATTGACACATGCATTGTTTGTGATTAAAATAATGGTTGTTGGTCATGTATTAGCGACCCCCACAGATGTATGATTTCACTGCTTTCATAGGACCTCTCAGAAAAATGTATTTTTTTCCAATTAAAAGATTGCAAGTTCAGTAAATAATTATACTTCAACTCCAACATTTGTTTATATTTCAGTATACGAAATTATTTTAGTAAACCACTGGTAAAAAAGGCTGAAGTTATTTACAATAGATCTCTTCACAATATATCTTGCATTTGGCATTAGTCTTGGGATAATCAGCTGCTTTTGCTCATAAAAAGCACTGCAGTGTGGTTTCACACCTCAAATTAGGTGCAGACAATGTATGAAAACCATATTCACTTGAGCACTAATTGAGCATGAGCACACCAAGCTCCAGCATTAGTCTGTTCTAACATTTCAGACTTTTTTTGCAGTGAAATGTCACTTTTAATCTTGACTCTTCATCTGGGTTTCACGGTACAGGAAAGAGATGTATTTAGGAGCAGCACATCCTGTACAGCAGCTACTTCTTCTAAAACCCATATGAGTGCTGATAGAAGAACACATATATTAGGACCCCAGAGGCTCACGGTGTACAGTATAGTTGCATCTCATCACCACTCCTCAACTCATTTGTGTTTTGATTGCTCCTGATTGTCTCCTGTCCCCAGTCTCATTAGCTAAGATTTGCTCTATTTTTATTTTCCCTAATGATCAGTTTGTTTGACGGCGCTATCAGTGGTTTAGCAGCAGAGAAGCTTCAGCTGCCTGGTGCATCACTAAGAGTGTGAGTGTTTTTATGTTATTGGTTATATGTGATTGGACCTACTACACACACGCTGATACAGTGGGTGTCATCCCTATCACACCGGCGTCTGTCATACATAGTTATTTGATGCATCTATGAAAAGACTCGCGTTTCAATGAGCTCAATAGCTTCAAAGACAGAATTCACAAATACCTTACGCAACACTTTGATATGTTTTTATTTTTTAAATATTTTCGAAGTCAAGCACACACACGAATGTGACAAAATAGATGTCAGTAAAATGTAGGACTATATTTTATTAATATCATTGTGATTATTCTTGCCACAGAAATCAATTTGATATATGGTTGAATATCAATTGCTTAAAACATTTTCATGTTCATGTTTTTCAATTATAGTCTTAACAAGTCAAAACTTAAACAATAATCATATATTCTTCAGGATTTAGTTATACAAAAGGACCTCTAAATATTGGAAGCATACCTGCTCCCCTATAAAATAAAAACTCTAAACATAACCTGGTTGCTGTTGCATCTAAACATGACCTCGTAATGTACATAACAATTGCTTCCTTATTCTGTTTTATGGTTATGATTAGCATGAATGTATATTTATTTTCACATACTTTGACACTACAAACAGGCTTTTGGAAATGTATTGAACATCATCTTGCGGAGTGATACTATTTTGGTACTTGGTATTATTTCTTGATTCAAAAGCTGTGTGTCTGGGCAGTGTCTGCAGACTTTCCAAAATTAGCACATGAGAAGAACCACAAACTTGCTTCTATAAATACACATTCAGTTCCCATCTCTGTTGGCATTGATTGACTGTGGATTAACTGAGAAGGATTTCTGTCAGCCAGAGATTTGATGGAGATTCAAACCAACTGGTCTCCTCCCGTTTAAAAGACTGAAACATGGCCATATCCACATGTTCTTACATTTTTATAAAGCTTAACTAAAAAGAGAGAAAGATGGCAGTGAAGCTCACTAATAACTACAGCTATTAGATAATAGAAATAATAGGATGTTAAAGATGACATTTCTGCCCCCTATTGTCAATTATTGTGCGTTCTTCATTTCTTAGATAACAGATTATGTTGATTCCAGTTTACTCAATTAAACCATGACACCTATATGATGCGGGATAACCTTGATTAATTATGCTAGTTGTATTCATGAAGGATGTAATGTGCTAACTAATCAGATCAAATTATGAATGGCAACCTGCTTCTTTTAACATAATGGCAACAACTTCTTACCCACAGCCTTGAGCGTGGCGTACGTGTTGAAGTCCTGTACCGGCTGCTGCAGCTCGTACGGGCTGGTGAGGGGACCCACGGCCGGGTACAGCTGCGTTAGCAACGTCGCTGCGTGAGCCGCGTTGTTCATCTGGTCTCTATCTAAAGGAGGGGAAACACAAGTTGTTAAAGCAAAAGTCCATGGTTCATTTAAGCTTTTTTTAAATGACAACATATGGGAATTTTGTTTGAAGTGCGGTAATTCTTTGTTTTTTTTCCTTTTGTTTTTTTTCCTTTTATTCCCTTAAAGGACACCTATCATGCTATATTTAAATGATATATTGTAGGGCCATACCTATATAAGGTATATTTATAAGTTTCTGTTTTCAAAATACCAAACAGATCATGCATTTTAGCCATGCCTCATTTCGCTCTATTTGCTGTTCTCCAGCCCTGTTTTTGCAGGGGGCTGATTCTGTGAGCTGCAGCTGACCACGCAGGAGAGGGGAGCCGCTCTGATCAAGTCAGAAGAGGGGGAGAAAAATAGATCTCCATCCTCCGTGTTTTATTATAGAGAGGCGAAGTCCCGCCCATCTACTTCCGCCCCATGGGACCTTATTTCGGAAAAATTATGCATTGAAGTCAATGGTGAGAGAAAGATTATCTTTCGATCCCGTTTGAATTGTGCCACGAATTACATATATGATGTTTGTCAATCTTAAATAATAATTTCCATGTCAAAAAAGTCACAGTTTGTCGTAAAACTGTTGAAATATAAGACTATGAAAAATACGCAACTAGAAAGACTACAAATCCCAGAATCCCGGTCCCGCATGCTGGCTCTTACGAACCGACTAACTCCCCTTTTGTGTATGTACAGCTCTCAACATGCCTAGACTTGTAGTGATTTTCACCTCTTTTAATACTTTTCACCTCATTCTGAAAGAAAGAAGGGAAATGTGCCAACGTGACGGCCGTCTTGGTGTGTGGTGAGAGACGGGAGATGTAGGTCATTGAGCGGTTCACACAAAAAAAAGTGTTACTTCACAGTTTTACGACACATTTGTATTTTTTTGACTTGTAAAATTATCTTTTAAATTGACAAACATCATGTGTAATTCGTGGCACAATTCAAACGGGATCGAAAGATAATCTTTCTCTCCCCATTGACTTCAATACATAATTTTTCCGAAATAAGGTCCCATGGAGCTCCCCCGGAAAGGGAGGGACTTCGCTTCTCTATATTATTATATAGAGTCGTTATTCATTTGTTTTAAAGCTCAATAAATAACAAAGAAGACCTTTGACCGGCACTTTTCTAATTTTGTCCGGAAGATTTAAACTTTAATGGACATCTTGACCGGCAAAAGAAAACCTAACTGAAACTCTGCAGCACGGTCCCCTCGTTCCTTGGAAGAGGCGGAGAGGTGGGTGTTTGTCATCTGCTGGTGGACTAACCGGGGAGAATTACAGTGCTTGCCTCGACGGGGAGGGATTGCATTGAATTACAGCAGCAGGAGCAAACGCTTGCCTCGGGGAGGGAGAAAAAGAGCCACAGTGGAGAATAAACATAAGGGTAACCATGGCAACCATGCGCGGGAAGTCTTCTTCGCTGCTTTTGTGGCAGACTACAGCGCCACTTACAGGCCTGGCATATGTACTACAGCGTCTCCAGCGCTTTCGAGCGGCAATGGCCGGCCGTGGCCGGCTGTGGCCCAACCCCACATTCCCCTGATAGGTGGAGAGTTGGCCCAATAGCCGTAGCGCCACCGTCCTGACGTCAGGACAGTGTTCAAATCTGGATCAGTTTTTATCAGATCCGTTGCAGCCCCTTTTTTAGAGATTTGGGTATGGAGGAAAATAGAGAGGGTTGTGTTTTCTGACACTTGGTGAGTTCCCTGGAACACCGGGGACACATATTCATGTATAAAAGACGTACAAAAGTGCATTTTGCATGATAGGTCCTCTTTAATAACGGTTACAAAAATGCTTTCCATCTGCTATCTAAGGCTGGTGCTGCATGCACATTAAAATCATGGTGGGAAAAAGAAAATCTATACTGTACTGTTCATTGTACAGTCATTTCAATATAATAAATGTAGAAAGAAAGATGTTAATCTACATGAGATATAATCAAAATAATAATAAAGTGGAATTAATTTCACCAAATATATTTATTAAAAATAAACTTCTTGAGATGGGTGATCTTGTTTTCTAGGGGGTTCTACACATAATACAAACAATTGATGCAACAACATTAAAGTGGCAAACCACAACAACAATTAAAGGGGTAAATAAACAGACATAACCAGATAAAATACACAAATATTATTAATTGTGTCTCTCTCTTGGTAGTGTCACTTTCCTGTTAGAAGGCTTTTCTGGGGACCCAGCTGGAGAGTCATGACAGCTCTTTGTGAAACTGTACTAATCCTACAGTAGACATCTGGTAAATTAAGGGGTGCACAGCAGAGAGAATGGCCCCCTGCCTACTGGCATGACACAGCAAACAGATGTTCAGAGTGTCTTCTCTGGAGGACAAGACTGGAACGTACCAATTCACAGGCGACTGTTTGAAGACTGCCACATGTGCTGTGGCTTATATTAATACATCTTAGTATAAATATGGACATAAATATGGACATGTTTATGGCCTAACACCTCATGCGTTTAGCTTGATCATTCATTTATTATCCTTTCTTTTTTTTTAAAGTACTGGAACGGTGGAATGCAAATGTTAAGGCAGACATGAAACAATTAAAATATATGTGATTTTACTAGCCATTCAGATTTGGCTCACCATGCTACTGTATGTCAGATGCAAGCTCATAAAAAAATACCGCCGCCTGTTGTAACCTTTGGTAATTATTTAGATTTGTATATATATATTAAATCCTGAAACCAATCAATATATCAAACTCTCTGAAAATAAAAGTCTGACTACGAACAATAGCCATGATAGGTGTTCACGTTCATTATGATACATTTGGGAGAGTGGCTTCGAAGAGATGGGCTGTCATTGTTGCCAACTTAGCACTGTTCTCGTTAGATTTAGCAACTTTTGGAGCTAGTGCTGCTAGCTACTTTCAGACCAGTCGTCTGCTTTGAGCTGGCTGGCTCTGTTGTGATATGTCAACCGGACAAAACATGTCCATCAACTCATCACTGCTGTTGTTAATGGTTAAAGTTTACAAACTTTTAATTGTGGAGAGTGTTTGGTCTAGAAGATGTCTGATAAAAAAACAGATAATTATTACAGAAAATAGGTTAATTAGGTTCTTATTCCCCCCTGGTCAGCAAGAAACTTTGATACTGTGCTAATTAATTTGGAAAGTCTCAAATTATCGATGCTGTCTCATGAAATGATGCAGAGGACAGCCACACCTCAACAAGCAGGGGGTGTAATGAGTAATATCCCAGTCCAAGGTCATTTAAAGGTGGGGTAGGTAATTTTGGAGAAACCAGCTCGAGTGCGCTAGAATTTGAAAATACACAGCCGGAACAAATCTGCCACTTCCTTACAGAGCCCCTCCTCCAACACACACGAACGCGCACATGACCAATGAGGGCACGAGATAAGTTTGTGCACAGCTGGAACGCTGACAGGCAGGTAGGCCATCCAGTTATTTTAGCCGGGCCGGCTAAAATGATTGGTCGTACTTTTTACAGTATTACGGCTTCCACAGATGACATTTTTGTATGGATTTTTTGTCAAAGCACTTAAGATATTCATTGCTATCGGGATGCTAAGAGCATTCCATGGAATATAAAAAGTGTATCTCGAGCCGGTTTCTCAAACTTACCTACCCCACCTTTAAAGGGGACCTATCATGCAAAATGCACTTTTGTACGTCTTTTATACATGAATATGTGTCCCCGGTGTGTCAGGGAACTCACCAAGTGTCAGAAAACACAACCCTCTCTCTTTTCCTCCATACCCAAATCTCTAAAAACAGGCCTGCAACGGAGCTGATACAGATTTGAAATTGTTCTGACGTCAGAAACAGGGAGCTCCGCCTATATGGGCAATTCTCCACTTATCAGGGGAATGGGGGGAAGGGCCACGGCCATTGCCGCTCGAAAGCGCTGGAGACGCTGTAGTACATATGCCAGGCCTGTAAGTGGCGCTGTAGTCTGCCACAAAAGCAGCGAAGAAGACTTCTCACAGAATCAGCCCTTGCAAAAACAGGGCTGGAAAAGAGCAAATAGAGCGAAATGAGGCATGGCTAAAATGCATGATCTGTTTGGTATTTTGAAAAAAAAACTTCACAGACATGTTTTATATAGGTATGGCCCTACAATATATTATTCAAATATAGCATGATAGGTCCACTTTAAGGTATCACTGTGTTCTTCTTAAGTTAAGACTGTCTTTGTAAAAAGATCCTGTATCATCCAGTTTATTTAAAGCCTTATTAAAAAACTATTGAGAAGGACAGCGCAGCACGTCAGTAATGGTTTTATCTTAATACACCCTCACTACATATTTTGTAATGCTTGATGCTAATTGCTTTTCTTACAAAAGTAACACAAATCTCCAAAAATCTAAAAGGACATCTCTGCATTAGTTTGCCAGCTTCCTTTCTGGGCTTGTTGACCTGTTTCAGTTTCATACAATTCACCATAAGTGGGCCATGCACACAGGCTGTCATTCAATGTGATCTTGTTTAAGCTTGCCATTCGAATTAGATCTGCTCCCATAGAATACAGTGAATGTACTTCACTTGTAATTTACTGAACTAGGATGATGCACTATAAATACTGCTTTTTAGTAAATCCTATGTTCGTTTCCAAAACACAAACATATATATAGATTTGTTTAATCTTTGGATGCATGGATTGATACGTGAATGGACTTTATCGATCCTAAATTGGGCAAATATTTTTGTTACAGCAGTAAGTACCAAGGCATTGCACATTGAGCTTATTAAATTAGCTCAATGAATCAGGGAAATTCTTCTTTTATGCATGGTTCTGAAGTAGGCTATAGCTATTTGATTTGTCACTTGATCTTTGTGATAATCTAATACTCCAGTCAAGGTCAGGGTATGCCTTAAAGGGGCCCTATAGAGTGGTGCAGGGATGACGTATTTTTGTAGGCCGACCCGGAAGTAAGCTGCGCATGGGTTCCCTCGACAAAAAAGCAACGGGATTTCTC